GTGGCATGGTATTCATCTTCCCCCTTATATGTTTGTAACATATGATTCTGTAACAAAATAAGTTTATGCAGCTTATTAAGAAAAAATAAATTAATCCTTGTCATCTCATGTATCGTCTCCACGGAAACACCCTCATGGAGGGCTCGGCAAATCGCAAAGATGCGGTCTGGTGTAGGGACCTTCAAATCTTGCATATAATCCCAATTCTTCTTTGCCTCCAGTCTTGGAGGGACATCAAAGCCCGTATGTGACGGATCCACCATGCGTAGTGCCTTTTGCAGTGCCTCCTCAAAGGTGCGACCAATCGCCATCACCTCACCCACACTCTTCATCATAGAACCAATGTTCTGACTCACCATGTTGAACTTGCTGAGATCCCAGCGTGGAACTTTCACGACGATGTAATCCAAGCTCGGCTCAAAGCACGCCATTGTTGTCTTGGTGACCCCATTCGCAATCTCAAAAAGGCCTTTGCCAAGAGCAATCTTTGCCGCAACGAGTGCAAGTGGGTATCCTGTTGCCTTTGATGCCAAGGCGGAGGAACGAGAAAGACGTGCATTAACCTCAATTACAACATAGCGGTGTGAACTGGGATCAAGACCGTATTGGATGTTGCATTCGCCAACAATACCAAGATGACGAATAATTTTAATAGATGCACTTCGCAACATGTGGTACTCATCGTTCGTCAACGTCTGTGAGGGGGCAACAACGATGGATTCACCGGTATGAATACCCATCGGGTCAAAGTTCTCCATGTTACAAACCGTGATGCAGTTGTCGTAGATATCACGCACCACCTCATACTCCACTTCCTTCCATCCAGCCACACTCTCCTCCAACAGAACCTGCGGCGAAACAGCAAGTGCCACACCCACCTTATGACGTAATTCTTCTTCATTGTAAACAATGCCGCTACCTTGACCGCCAAGGCAGTATGCTGCGCGCAACATTAACGGAAATCCAATGACCTTTGACGCTCCTACCGCCTCCTCTATCGATGTCACAGCTAATGACTTCGCTACGTGTTCGTTAATCTGTAAGAGTGCATTACGGAACAAATCTCGATCCTCCGTTACGGTAATGGTAGAAATAGGCGTACCAAGAACCTGCACATTGTATTTCTTGAGAATACCAAGTCGATCCATTTCCAGACCACAGTTTAACGCCGTCTGACCTCCCCATGCCAACATGATTCCATCTGGTCTCTCCTTTTCAATGACGCGTTCCACAGCTTCTGCGGTGACGGGTACAAAATAAATTTGATCCGCCATTTCATCGTCTGTTTGTACCGTCGCAATGTTAGGATTAACAAGCACGGTCTCTATACCTTCTTCACTCAACGCTTTAAGGCATTGCGAGCCACTGTAGTCAAACTCGCCAGCCTGTGCAATGACAATGCCACCTGCCCCCAATACAAGAACTTTCCGGGGTTTATATTTAGAGGCCTCCTTCACTTTAGATTCTTTTACATGTGCAATAAATTCACCAAATAGATACTCCGTATCCTGCGGACCACAACGTCCTTCCGGATGAAACTGTACAGAGAAAAACGGCTTTGTACGATGACGTAATCCCTCATTGCTATCATCATTAGGGTTGTAAAAACACTCCTCCCACTCATCCTGAGAAACGGATTTAAAATCCACAGCAAAGCCATGATTTTGTGTCGTAATAAAGACATGTCCATCGGAACGGCATGTCGAAGGTTGATTCTGTCCACGATGGCCGTACTTCATCTTGTATGTGGAACCTCCAGCAGCAAGTGCTAAAATCTGATTTCCCATACATATACCAAAGATCGGTTTATCTTGCGTAATAGCCCATCGAACATGTTCAATGGTTTTTGTGCACATCTGTGGATTACCTGGACCGTTGGAAATAAAAAGGCCATCGTATGTTTCCTTTGTGATATCCCAGTCATGTGGTACCACAATGAGTGTCACATCATACTTTAGCAAACACCGCAATGAGTTAAGTTTCACACCCATATCAATGACAAGAATGACAAGTGTTCCATGTCCATATGTAGAGCGTGTCTTTGTGCTGACTTCAGCTACTAAATGACGCATATTAGGATCGACAAAAGGTACATCTTTATCATTGACAACTACTTTACCAAGAGCTGTACCCATCTCACGTAACTTTAATACGATATGGCGTGTATCCACCATCATGATGCCTGGAATATTATTTCGTCGCAGCCACTGTCCAAGAGTCTCCCACATCTGCCAATGTGCCGGCTCATCGCAGTACTCTGAAACAACCACTGCACTCACATGTATTTCTCCGCCCATGCTCTCAAAATATTTAGTCAAGCCAAAATGATCCGTCTCAATTGGAGGGATGCCGTAATTTCCGATCATTGGCGAAGTCAAGACAAGAATCTGTCCCTGGTAGGAAGGGTCAGTCATTGCCTCCGGGTACCCAACCATGCCGGTGGCAAAAACAACTTCACCCGCCACACTCTCCTCGTAACCAAAAGAGTAGCCTTCAAAACATTCACCACCGTGCAGGACAAGCGACGCCTTCACTTTTTCCTCAAACATTGTTTTACTTTTTTATGTTTTGTGTTACTGTTGTTTTTTCCCTCTCTGTTTGTTTGTTTGTTTGTTTCTTGGTTGATGTTGTTGACTTAAATATATATTCTCTTGTCTTGATTCGCCAGTTTCCTGTTGATGCTAGTGCTATTTACTTATTAATTCTTCTGCTCTCTCTCTCTCTTTATCTCTTTTCTTTCTTTATTCTGCAGAACTCTTCAAATGTTGGTGGCGGGCGTGTGTTTACGCGTCTCTCTCTGTGTGTGTGTGTGTGTGTGTGATGGAGACCCCCTGCAGTCCTCCTTCCCCCCCCTTTTTTTTTTTTTCCTTTCGACCGCCTCTCGCTCGCTCTCTCTCTTCGCTGCGGAGGACACAAACAAAAATACGAAGAAAAGAAAAGGAAGAAAAAAAGGAAGACGCGTGTAAACTCTTCCACACGCCCATCCGTAAATCTCCACCGCAACAGGCGAAGAGGAGGCGGGAGGAAAAGCCTTCATAACGTCCACACACGCGGACACTCGAAGAAACAGGTGGACTGAAAGAGGGGGGGGGGGGGGGGGGGAAGATGAGAAAAAAGAAAAAAAAATTGTAAAATAATCTCACACGCAATAATCCAATTCAACGCCAATGACGCTCACAACGGCAGCGATGAATTAATAATAAATAAATAAATAAAAGACCCTACACACACACACAGAGGGAGGCAGAGAGGCAGAGAGAGAGAGAGACATGTACACTCACATATTTATATTGGCGATGTGTCTTTCTTTCTCGCCCTCTTTTTCCACTGCCTTCTTCCCCTTTTCCCTTCTCCATGTGTCTCTTGTTCTTTTAAGGGAGTCCCTTTTTTCCTTTTTTTTCTTTTCTTTCTTTCGTGTGTGTGTGTGTGTGTGTGTGTGTGTTTTTGAATCGCCAGCATTCCTGCACCTTCAGTCAATTTATCCTTCTTTTTTTGTTTGTTTTCTCGTTTTTGTCTTTTAATTCCGCACGTCCTTTTCTTTTTTTTTTTTTTGATCGTCGATTTCATTCTTTTTTTATTTCAGTCATTTCCTTCTCTTTTTTTTTTCTTCTCTTTCTGTTTGTTTGTTTTCCACCTCACTCCCTCTCCATCTCCTCCCGCCGGCGCTCTCGAAGGCATTCGCCCACAAAAATGTCTGCATACAAATCACCAGGGCAGAAAGAGAGGGGGAAAGTGTCTGTGCGTGTGTGTTTGTGCACATGGTGGCATTTCATACATGCATGCATGCACGCAAACACAGATAGATAGATAGATAGATACACACAGAGGGGGACAAAAAACAATAATAATAAACGCATTCGAGAGATACGTAAAAGTTCACATAAAAACAACAACAACAACAACAACAACATGGAAAATAAGTAACAAAAGTCAAAGAAAGAAGAAGAAAAAAAAAAAAAAGGGTCAGCGTGGGCAGCAAAATACACTCATATATATATGTATATATGTATATATATATTGCACGTAATGTCGGTTCGCACCGTTACACGCGGTGGTAACGGCCGCCGTAATATGCTTCGTAATTTGTTTCATGTTGTATTAGACATGTCACGATCATTCCGAGAAGAGCAATACTTGTGATGGATAACCCAATCGGTAGTACTTCCTTCAAATGTTCTTTGATTTTCCCCATCACAACGGATTCACATGTCACGTTGTATCCATTGATTTCCTTTTGATCCTCCTCACTGCAGGTTGGGCAGATGATTTTAGAATCAGAGTTGTTATTCGAAGTATGAGGCAGCATCTCAGCCGTATTTACATCCCCCAATGCCCCTTCTCTCAATGACAACTGGTTTCCTTTTCGGATCAAAGGGTTCATAAACTCCACATTTGAGGTGTTGCAAAGCTCCTTCCAGCCAGAACAGTGAAACTGCAACTCCAGTGAACACATCCCCTCCGCATTACTCACGGCAGCTTTATCCCAACCCGTCTGCAGGTTCACTCGATCCGTGCTGACAAGAACGTACGCGATGGAGCTGCTGAAGGCCCCCAAAAACACCACAAAAAGGTAAATAAAATACAACACACGCAATAAAGTGTTACGGGTGCAAAGTGCAAAGAAGCCGAGAAGTGAAAAGAGAAGAAGTCCACTGAAAACGGAAATGTACGCAATGAAAATTGCATGACACGACTGGCATAAGTTTTTCAATGTTTTTTCCATTGTGCTGCGCTCCAGTAAACCAACGGCAAGGCCTGCAACAGCTCCGGCTGTCAGTAATATATTCATCCCCATCAGCAGCGCACGAAAGAAACGCAGGCAGCCGCTGTCGTGGCTCTCCACCCAGTAATACGCATTGTACGCAGGCACCGAATGCATGTTTAGATGATGTTGTTTTTATTCAACCCTTCTTTTTTCGTTTTTTATTACTTTTATTTTCCTTTTCTTTTCTTTTCTTCCTCTTTGTTTGTTCTTGCGCTTCAGCGTCACAATTATTTGTTGTTGTTGTGTTTTTTTTTTTTCTTCTTCTTCCTTTAAAAAAAAGAAAATGGGAAAAAAAAAGGAAAAAAAAGATAAATTCACTTCCTCCAATTCCTCTCACTTCCCACGGTACATATATTTATTTTGGTCTCCTTTCTTCCTTGTGCTTCTCTCTCAATCCTTCTAAACCCTCGTGCCAACGCAGCGCCGCCCCCCCAACACGTGAAGTGAAACCACCGCCGTGTAACCAGAGAAATAACACACACACACACACAGAGAGAGAAAAGAAAAAAAAGTGGAGAGGGAAGGGAAGTAAATGCACGCATGGAGATGTTATCACGTGAGAAAGAAAGAAAAAATAATAAAAAAATAAAAACAATAACAGGCAGACAAACAGTCGCACACCACACAAAATAAAAGGACAATTACATCATAGGAATATATATATATATATATCGCATCCTGGGGTTACACATGTCATCACTTTACGGCGGCTGCATGACGTAATGTACAAATGAGAGCAGCGCCTCATCCAACTTGGCATCCGGCACATCCACACCCGAAGTTAAATGCACAATAGGGCAAAACGCAGCCTCTCCACAAGACCTTCGCTGGCACGTTCCGGTAATATTCTCCTGAGCCAAGGGCGACAGTTGACGATGGTAGTACAAAACCTCATAGAAGAACCAGTAGCGAAACTCAAAGTATTGCTTCTGTAAAATGGAAATCCTGTCAATATTCAAATCCCCATTAGCCGTCACATCACCAACAGTAATTTGATCAAAATCAAAAGAAAGAGTAGTGTGCTTCAATCCATTCCCATCGGATTTAGCCAATCGTGACTGTTGCAGTGTACGTGTGACGTAAAGAGGATCCTTCACCTCCATCCATGCGTACGGCGACGCCGCGTGCCCGCAGTTATCACCAGTTGGTGGGATTGAAGGTGAATGCTGCAGATACTCCCGCTGCAACCAAAACCGCTCATAGTCACCCGTCACGGAAGGCAACGGGGGAACATACTGCAGGTTTGAAAGCAAATACGCAAAAGATGGAGGAAGCACGGCATGACTTGTATTGAAAGCGGCAAGCCGCAAAAGACTCTTCCGAGAACGAAACATATGCTCAATACGCTCTGCATAGCCTTGATGGCGCAAATGACGACGAGGCAAACGCAAAAATCGCCTCAAAGAAGCCGTTTCTTCGTCAATGTCAATCAGAAGAAAATAATCCAACGCATCGCAGACCGTTTGATCCAAAAACAAAAGAAACCCCTCGCATATAACATATATAGTTTCTTTATTTTCACACCGTTCACTCGAAGCCACGGCCTCCGTGGTGTATTGGAATGACGCCGCAAATTCCCCCAAATGCTCTCTGGATGAAGCATCTAAAGGGGAGCCTCGAGACGAGAATTTCGCCAATGACCCAGCAGGCTGAGAGCGCAAAAACGCAGACGCCCCGGCCAGATCTTGTAGACATTCAGCGGCAGACAGACCATCGCTCTGAAGCCGTTTTCGAATCTCACAGAGAAACCTCGCATAGTCTCTGCTGCGTATGCAACGTGGGTCTTCCCATGTGCCCAACGCTTCACATGTGGCCTCGTCAAAAAAATCGTCAACAGCAATTGGCCGCAGCGGCGAGTTTAAAAGCTCCACAAGGCGATTCGCCAACACCGTCTTGCCGGATCCACTGCAGCCTGACACCCCAATCATCACAACATGTCTCTTGGGAGACATGTCTTCTACATCCCTCGCCCTTGTCGACGTCATTTCCCGCCCTCCACGACGCTGGTCTTTACCCACCCAAATCCCCCCATGCACTGCACGTGGCAATCGGCAATAAAAATAAAAATAAAAATAAGAAGAGGAAATAAGAAGGTATAATTGTTGGCAGAAATAAATATAAACAACGGAGCAAATGATAGGAAAAAGCAAATTATTTCAACCCATCTTACTTTCCCTCAGACAAATTATTATAACAAAAATAAAAATTAAAAAAAAAAAAAAAGAAAAAAAAAGTTGTTCCCATTAAAAAATAAAAATAAAGTCACCAAACAGTCACCAAGTATATGTTTATATGGCACAAAAAAAAAAAACAATACACATATATATCCGTCAAAAGAAAAGAAAAAAAAAAAAGGTCTAATCATTCCTTTATTTATCTGTCACATTTTACCCCATTTTAAATATAGTCATGGCGAAGGATGGCTCGACACACCCAGGCAGCGAAACCATTTCCATCTGAAAGCTCCAGCGAAGAAGATGCTGGTTGCTTCAATTCATCTGTGCCGTGCTGATATAAAACCTCCAATTCAACCTTCACCCGCAAATGTTGCATTTTTAACGCCTCCTCATACCAAGCCTTATCGGCATCATTATCCTTCCATTCACAACCCTCCCTTATGCCATGCCATCGAGACAAGAGATTTGCCATCATTACGACATCGCGTTGACTGAAGCGCTGAAAGGGAAGACGAGGCAAAAGACGAAGTGGAAAAGGCTCCGAAGCCACACGATTGTCTGAGCCAACAAAATTTGGTTCACGTCCTTCCGCAATGTGATGAGTTCGCAAGCCAAGCCAGTGAAGAGCATGAACTGCGACATATTGGCTCTCACGCATACCACCCGCGCCATATTTGTATTGCTGCAAAATAGAGAGTCCACTTGGGTTGTAGTCCACAAGCGCCACAAGCGGAACACTTTGTGCGGCTCGATGCAAATTGGACAAGAGAGTTCGCGCTGCAACTGTAGGAAAACCATGAGACGTGAGCAAGACACATGGAAGCCGCTCGAAAATTCGCTCCTCCATCAGTCTAAAAAACACGGCATGCTTCTCCACAACAACGATGTACCGCGTCTTTCCATGGATTTCAAAGCCAATGAAGGGGACGTTGTCCTTATTGGACGCAGCTGTGCGGTCCACATCGCCCTGAACGACGCGAAGCTCTTCTTGTGTCGTCGGCAGCGGTAATCCCTCCGATCCGTAGCAGCGCAAATCAACGCCGTGAAAACTTATTGACCCGCCAACACAGCCACGTGTTCCGGGAACGACACCGAGCCACTGCCGCGGGATGCCAATTGTCTGCACAAGCTGCTGGATGGCACGGTTAATGCAACCCTGGTCAGGAATAAGACGGGCAAGGCGGTAATAAACATCACGTTGCGTGCTAATAATTCCGCAGTGGATATTTTGGTACAGAAGGCGGAGGACCAAAAGCTGCAGTCTTATCACACGTAGCCGACTTTCCCGAATTGTCGACCGCCGCGTCGTGGTTACAATCTCGTGAATCGTCTGCAGTACAAAAATCTCCATGCGACGAACAGCCTCAGCTGTGATTGCAGCGGGTGTGTTAACCGCCACAATGTCGGGGCCTATAAATTCATCCTCGGATGAAGCGAGAACGGGCCTCTGTTTCTTCTGTCTTGTCAACCGCTTTGCAACAACTGCTGCCGCGGATGTATTCGATGATGACGGAGACGATACGGCAGCCTCCATCGCTGTCCCTTTGCTAATTGGTGAGAGAAGGGCAGGCAGTGCTCATTATACGTCAAGAAGTGGAAGCCACAAAAAAGGGGGGAAAAAAAAAGATAGAGTGAAAAACAAATGCAAATTGAATACAAAACGTTTAATCACGTGTACAGGGTCCCTCACATGAGCAGCACCTTCCTTCATCGTCCACCCCACAGAAATACACGTAAAGACAGACAGACAAAGACAGAGAGAGAGAGAGAGAGAGAGAGAGAGGGGGAGAAAAGCAAAGAAAGAAACGCACCATCATTTACCCGTGTTCTCCTTTATTTTATTTCTCCGCCCCTCATTCATCAACTCTCCTCTCGAGCCCTCTTCCGCATATCGCGCTGCCGCTGCGCCCACAGCTTTGACACGGACTGGGAGAAGTCCACATGAATGCGGTGGTCATCCACTAGGGCCTGGTCCATCTTCTTGAACGCTCTGTAGCACGCCTCAACCTCTTCAAACTCCACAAAGCCGTAACACAACGAGTTGCCCGTCTTGCGGTCCCGCACAACATCCGTTGACACGACACGACCATACTGCGAAAAGCACATCCTTAGGCCCTCGCCAGTTGTAAGCGGGTTAAGTTTACACACAAAAAGCACATTTTCCGGCGGCTTCAGTTCTCCAGAAACATCCGCGATGCCGTCTAACAAATTCAGCATAAGTGTCCGTGTCTCATTAAGTTTGTCTTGACGCATCCGCATAATCGCCTGATGCCTACTTTCACGTTCCTTTCGAGATTCCGCACGTGGTGCTTCATCATCGGAACTAAGATATTCACCGTGGTAATGCGGATTGTACTCCACCGACTGCACTTCGTCCGTTTCACCGCTCAAATGATATTCTTCTTTCGACCGATTCTCATCAATCAAAAAGAAATCGGTGCCCCGAGATCCTTTCGCCTCACCCCCTGCAGTGGCAATATCTTTCATAATTTTAATGATCACACGATTCGCGGCCCGCACCGTTTCTTTTCCAGCCCAGTGTAGAAAGCAACCGGCAGCCGTAAGCGTCAAGCCTAATGTCTTCTGCTGCGAGAAAGCACGACTGTCACCAATGCCATTATACCAGACATCTGAAAACATTTCAGTCCCTGCTGTTGGCAAAACAGTCGCATGTTTGATGCGTATAAGTCGAGTGGGACGGGTCCCAACGGCAGACGCGGAAGATAAACGTTGATACGGAGCAGCTCGTAACTTTTCAATGACGCCAATGCCCTCACGCACCTCACCCACCACCATGAAACGATGTTCAAAGTACTCCAGGTGCCGATTCCCCAGTGTGAACACAAGTGCGCTTTTCCGAGCACTGACGCCGTCAGCCGTGAGATCCGCCTTCGGTGGCACCTCAAGCAGCAGTAAGCCCCGACGATTAATCAGCCCCACTTCCCCTGTCTCGGGCTTTGGTAGAAACTCCACGGACACCTTCCCGCTGCGCCGCTGCAGTTGGGCCGTGTACCTCTTCATCCGCTCCCATTCCACCAGCATGAGGCGATCCACATTAGCTGCCCTTCCACTCCCACTTCCCTGGTTGTTTCCACCCGCCCTTTCCACACAAGAGTAAAATGTCGATCCTTTCAGAGCCTCTACTGGGTGTGAGAAGATGATTATGTTGTCAGGCACCACCTCTGTCGCTATGCAGCCATTAAAGTACTTGCAGCGGCACATGTTGACAATTTCTGCTGTTGCAGCGGGACAGTCAAGGCCGTAAAGATCAACTACGAACGCGCCAACGGAAGTCTCAATGAGCACGGCTGATGTCACCAAAGGACGAGATCCCTTTGAGTCTTCCTTTTGCATCTGTGCCTCTGTATATATAAATGTATTTATCTAGGTGCCACGGTCCCCTTTTATTGATTTAATTCTTCCTGTTGGTTCCGTGAAGTTGTGAGAAAATGAAGTCACCTCCTTCGCTATGTAATTCTTCCGATTTCTCCCGTGGAATCAGACACATAAAATCCCGCACAGCTTTCCGCCTGTACTTTAGTGAATGTATTTGTGTGTGTGTGTGTGTGTGTGCGCGTATGTTCCACCCCCCGTCTTTAGCAGTAACATTGACGCAAAAGAAAAGCGTGCAAACGTACCAAAAGATATACAAAAAGAAAAAAAACAATTTGTGGCAAAGTCCATAACTCGGAAAAAAATCAAGAGGCAAAAACAATTAAAAAAAATAATAAAGGTACTAAATGTAACAGCGGGAAGAAATTTAAAAAGAAGTAATTGGGAAAATGACAAACAAACTGTACTACTCCTCTTTACGTACTTTTCCACAATTCACAACAAAAGGGAGAGTGCAAGGAGTAAGGGACCTCATGTGCGTTGGACATATGTTGCTGGAACCCACTCCTTAAAACACACCGGGCACTCTCTCCGCTGTCGGCACCAACTTTGTATGCAGTGATCGTGGAACGTGTGATCACATGTCCCACGTACCACGTGGCATTCTTCTACAGGGTTCCCCTTCCCGCGACATCCCAGACAGCATTCCTCTAAGTGCAACTTGCACACGAGGCACTCAAGCGATCCAATCACCGGGTGCTCGTACGCAAAGAAAAGAAGTGCCTCCTTCATTATGACGGGAATACTACACTCCCTCTCCGCATTGATGCTCGTACTTGCCATTGAGCAGCTAGAAAACCACAATAACAAAAAAAAACTGTGTGTTCTCACGATATAACCATGCAGATAGCCGGTGCAACGGCAGCGGGATGAGTCCTTCTCCTTCCTCTTTTTTTTTTTTTTCTCCTGGACAAAACACACAAGAAATTGAGAGCAAAGAAAACCGACAGCTTTGCCAAAATCCGCCAGAAACATGAGATCATCGAGTCACACATAATGAGAAGAGGCAACTGTTTGAATGTGACATTGGAAAGAATTAACGCCGCTGGCATCCGCGAGCCAAGAACCTTTTCATCGAAAAAAAAAGAAAAACGGCTCCAAAACCTCGGCTCACCTCGACTCGTGTCCAACCCACAAGCATGGGAAACAGCAAAAACAACTGAACCTTTTTTAATTTATTCCCAAGTTTGTTGGTTGCCCTTTGGACTCCTTTTTTAATGGTTTCTTCCTCTCGGTTGTTGATGTCGGTTTTCCTGCAGGTTCTTTCTTTTTTTTTTCTTCTTCTTTTTACCCCGTACCCTACCAGCGTCCATCTCGCTTTCACCACATGTCATATATCGTTCCTTGTGGTCTTGGCAACCTTCCACTCCCTTCCGCAGATGGGGCACTGCGGGCGCTGCCGCACCCACCTTGAGATGCAGTGTTTGTGAAACACGTGATTGCAGACGCCCCAGACGATGAGACAATCCCCCGTGAGAACACCGTCCCATGCCAACGACGCCGTCGCCATCGCGGACCCTAGTGGTGGCGGATGGTGCTCTTCATGCTCGTGTTTAAACTCTGCAACTACGCTTGATCGATTGCGTTGTAAACTGTCGCGCTCGTTTCTGTTATTCCCCTCGTCCGCGAGGCTGGTGGTGTTGCCGCTGCTAATACCTCCTCCCATGCCACAGCACTCAATGCATAAATCCGCTATAGTACTCTTGCAAATGGCACATGTCCCTACCTGCACATTCCACGACCACACAGCGACCATGTCCCACTGTTTTGCCGTAATACTGCAGGCATCTCCTTCGCAGGTCTTCGACACATCTTCAGATGCATTGCCATGTAGCACCGTTCTCTCCATGCAGCCGGGCCCTAAAGAGCAACAATACAAGTCTGAAAAAAAAAAAAAAGAAGACAAAATCATTGGAGGGAAAGCAGTCCATCCGCATCTCCCCTGCGTCAATAGACCAAAACTCGTTTCACAAACCAAAAAAAAACAGAAATACAAGTGGGTGCACATATATGGCAAACAAACAAAAAAAGAAAATACTCAGTAAAATCGACTATTCACGTCTTCTAAGAGTCTATCATGAGCTCGTGAAATGCGAGCACGTTCCCACTGGAGACGCTCCACTTTCAACGTCATCTCCCGCAATTGCCGAGACTTCTCTTCGTCCTGCGCCAAGAGCTGCTGCACGCGTTCGTTACATGACAATGCTTGCTTTTGGTTCATCCGCACGGCCTCCTGCAGATGTTCAGCTTTAGCCGCCAGCACCTCAGCCTCGCGGTCACGCGCCGACAATCGCGCCTGCACCGCCGTCAAACGCTCTTGCGAATCCGCAAGTTCCTTGCGAAGTTCATCCCGCTGTCGTTCCATCGCAATCATTGAGGCGTTCGCGCGGTCTTTCGATGCCTGCATGTCACGCAGTACCTCATCAAAGTGCTGCTCAAGCTCGTGAACACGCTGGCGCTCCTTTGCCGTGTCGTTCTTCGCCTCGGAACGCAGGCGTTCACATGTCTCTTCGGCTGTCGCAAGAGCGCGGCGCAGCTCTTCCATCTTTTTAAGAGTTTGATCCCTCTCCTGTCGGGCACGCTGCAATTCACTGGCGTGGCTCTTGCACTTCTCACGGAGCACACGTAGTTCCTCCTTCATACGGTTCTTCTCAGTGTCAAGCTGCTCATAGCTTTGCTCCTGATCACGCAGCTTCTGCCGCAGTCCCTGCGTTTCCCGCTGCGCCTCACTAAGACGATCCGCCTCCTCGCGACGCAAACTACTTGAAAGTTGCTCATATCGAAGCAATGCGTCGTCCCTCTGAAGCTGCAGGTTCGATAGCTCGCTATAGAGACGTTTCAGCTCCATTTCTTGAGCTTTTCGTGTCTGCGCCTCCAAAAGCTCTGTAGTTGTGCGGAGGCTCGTGGCATAGCGACTACCTTTACTGCCTGCGTCCATACGAGCCAACTGCGCACGCAGTTTCTGCACCTCCATCTCCTGTGCATTCAACTGTGTGCGCATTCCTTCCACCACCTCTCGGTGTTTCTCCTCCACAACACGTAGGTGAGCCACATGATTATCGGATGACTGGCGCAGCGCCTGTACCATTCTATGCCGTATTCGCTCCAACTCTTGAAGCTTGTCCTCGTTTTCTCTGCTTAACAGCTGAAGCTGGATGCGTTGCAACTCCCCAAGTTGCTGTGTCTCCTCTTTTTCATTTTCGATTGTTTTGAGTCGACTCTGTGTCTGTTTTGCCTCCTCCCCTAATGTGACGGTGTCCCGCTGAAAATGTGCCACATCGCCTTGTGCCATGTTCAGCTCTCGCTTCAGCTGATCCACTTCTCGTTTTAGAGCGGCCTCCGCGTCAAGTGAGCGGGCCAACTGCTGTCGCACCAGTGCAGCTTCACGCTCAACCTCGTGTTTTGCGTTTTCCAGGCTGTTGTGTTCTTCTTGTGCCTGCATGCGTAGCTCCTTCAGTTGTGCCTCCGCCATGCGAACGGCCTCACGTGTCTCCTCCAGCTCGTCGTTGGCCGCCTGAAGCATCAATTTCAACTTGTCCACTTCCCGCTGCAGTTTTTCATTTTCCTCCTGCTTCTCCAGAATGGTGGCATCGTAGCACTGCAGGAGTGGAATAGCAATATCAGGGTTCTGCATTCGATCACGCATCGTCTTTACTTCATTGTGCGAGAGACGCAAAAGTTCCTGAATCTGACTCTGCAGCCGCATATTCCATTCCTCACTCAACTGAATTCGTTTATGCAAAGATTCCACATCATCGGGAAGAGTTGCCATTTCTGCCGTCCACCACTTCCCCCCTCCCTTTGGCTTTCCTTTTCTATGGAATTTATCCTGTTGTTGTGGTGGTTGTTTACGTCTCTCACGCTATATATATGTATGTATGTATGTATGTATGTATATCGGATGTTATTCGACTTCTTCCTCGCTCGTTGCTGAACGTTCCGAGGAATGTTTGCGGCACAAAACAAATATTCCACCTGCACAAAGAAGACACTAATGAGACACAAACAGAAAACGCAAATCTATGGGTGGTGTGCCTCGGTATATATATATATATGCGTGTGTATGTGTACTCCTACAACAGAAGTCAAGTATAATAATAATAATAATTATTATTGTTGTTCCGCAGTGAGACAAACAAAATAATAATAACAAATAAAAAGAAAAAAAAGAAAACGAAGCAGTAGCTACAGGCATTGTGTAAATACACAAATGCGGTTCCTAATTCACTGCGTAAATAAACAGAAAAATCAAGTAATAATCATTTACACGTCCACAACCTCATCTCATCTCCCTCTCCCTCTCCCCCCTTCGCACAGACAACCACACAGGAAGAAAGAGACGACAAGGTTGCAGGCGAACGGCACCGCCCCCACACCACCATTTCCTCAGAAGACCATTCATACACTCCGCACATCCAGTTCCGTGGAGTTATGGAAGTGAGGCGGCATTCCCCGCCGTGAGAAGACCCCTCCTTCTCTTCCTCGCTCGCCGGGTCCCACCTGAATCACGGCCTTGGGAAACACAACGCCCCGTTTATTCCGACAGGTCGCCTCCGTCCTGAGCATGTTGACTGCAGTCGGCATGCTCCTCCAATCGGTCTGCTCCGCTCCAAAAAGCAAAAGTAAAAAAATAACACGCTCTTCTTGCATGAGAGCAGTTGTCCTGAGCGCAATAGCAGAGCAACCAGAAGGCAAACACACACACACACATTGGGACACCCAAATGTACACTCCCGCGTAAACTTCGTGGATTTCCAAGGAACATCCAGGCCCATACCAGTCCTACCCCAAAAGGCCTCATGCACAACCATTTTTCCACGGCCCAAACGCAGTCTGTCCCATCCATTAAACATGTAGGCTTTGTTGTTGTTGTTGTTGTTGTCCCTCAGTGATGTACATGCAGGCTGAAGTTACTCGCGGTGTTATAATCTCCAATCCATTTATTCCTCCTCCTAAATCATCTTTTGCAACGCCTCGGTTCGGCATTCCAGTAGGCATCAAGGAAGTAAACACATCCCCTTCTTTTTTCCTTCTTTTCTACATCTTGGCAACACTCCACGGCATCACTACAAAATAACCGTCACGTCAACAAGATATAAAATAAAGTTTTTTTTAAAGACGCAATGCAAAGCAAAAAAAGCAATTTTCCCACTATTCATACACACAGAGAGAGAGAGGGGAGAAAAAAAAAAGAAAAGAAATTGAAAAGGCAACATAAATAAAGATGGAAAAATACAAATCGTGCTCGATAAGTCCAAACATCCCCAGTGGGTTAAAGGCTGCACAATCATTGCGTGCTTGTGTGACCATAAAGTTTAAATCGACTTATCAGAGTAGAGAACCATACAAGAACAACAACGAAAAAAAAAAAAAAATTCCCGCCTTACTAGCAGTAATGCCAAACAAAGAAACACAGACACACGCAGTCACAAAGAGCGAAAAGATAAAGAGATCAAATGCGTAAATATATCGGTTAACGCCTTTTCTTCTTCTGCACCACAACGGTAGCACCAGGAGGAACCGTGGGTTTCACCTGCATCGGCGCGGAAGAATCTGGGCGACGCAAGAGCGCTGCGGCTGCTGCACTTGCATGAGGTGGCCTGTACGGTTGCGGCTTGGAAGATTTATCTGTCTCCTTGCGCGGAGAGGCTGAACGAACAGGATACAAACGCGTGTCTTGAGTCTGTACCCAATGCGCCCCATAAAGCATGGGATATTTCTGTGTCAGAAGATGTTCACCGTTCTTCTTAAAGAACACAAGTTTGTTATCAATACGCAGACGGGTAAAGATAGTGGCACAAAAAAAGTTATGAGAGTCGGGTGCCCACATTTGCACGCTGCTCTTCTCGTTAAACTCACCAATCATTACCGCCGCCTCAGAAGAGGATGCTGCCACTGGCTTTGGTGCCATCGGTACCCTCGTGTTTTTATCCTTGTGAACATTTTTCATGTTATTGCTGCTGTCGGAGGGGTGCAAATTGAAAAAGACAAAATCCCCCGCAAGATTCCCTGTGCCACCCAATGCACAATAACGGCCATTTGGCGCCCAAAGAATGGTATTCCGCGGCGCCTCACCAAACGTCATAAGCGCCATACCCGTCTTATCATATAATGTCGTCTTGTTGCGTGGCATTGTGCCGTGTATCACCATTACTTGATCCGTCGTCGGACTCCACTGGCAGTCATGCACAGACTCCCCGCTGGGGAACTTGATCTCTTTTATACTGCGGCCCATAACATTTACAAGGAAAAACGCCACAGTGCCATAATAGCTCCTACCGCTCTTGTCACTCTCAGATTTGACCAAGAGAGCAATGTGGTTTCCAGAGCCACTCCAAAGCACTGTTGCAGACTCCGCACGTCCAAATGGCACCTGATAAATCAAACCCTCCAAGAGATTAGGCAGCCGATAGATAAAGAGCGTGCCTTGCACTTGTTTGTGGAATGGCTTAAATAGGGCAAGAAGAGAAATACTTCCTGGGCACATGGACAACTCAATTTCCTTGTCTTGCGGTAGTTGAAGATCCATCTTGAAGAGCACCGGTACCTCACCCTTTCGGAGATTACCATCCATTACGTGAAGAAATCCTTGCACGGGTCGAACACAATACAATTCGTCACTTGTCCACACCATGCCAGGCCAGCGGGCCTGTACGCAGCGACGAAGCACATTTCCTGTATTCACATCGTAGAGAACCATGTTGCCCTCCGGCCGCCTGCTGTCCATCATGGCATATGTCACAAGTACAGTACCAAGCGTTGAGAACGATAGCGCCACAACGTTCCGCTCCTCCACCTCAAAAATTTGTTTCAACCCCCATAAATATTCATCTTGCGTTGGCACCAACTCGCTGTAGCGCACATGTGTCGTCGTCGCATGGGCAAAGGCGGTCTGTTTCACAGGATTAAATCGCACCTCACATTCGCGATAATCGCCCGTCATAAGAGTGCCCTCCACCTCCGTCAGTGTGCGCTGCTGCTCTGAAAAGGAGGCGACAACAAGACTGTCGTCTTTCCGAAGAATGACGGGAAGAGATGCGAGAGCGGGTGGCTGCATGAAAACGGAAGGGAACAAAGAAAAGTTTAATGAAGAAGAAGAAAAAAAAAAAATACGTTCTCTTCCCTAAGTACTGTTCAACAGCGCCAAAAAAAAAAGAAAAAAAGAAAAATATATTTACGCAAGAACAAATAAAAGTTACAACAGCAACACGGAACAAACATGTCTACTGATTCTCCACACACACACACACACACACACACAAACAAACAAACAAACAAACAAACAAAGAACTCTTTTTTGTGAGCATTTTTAATTTAAAAAAAAACGTTCATTGGTGGCATTCCTTTTTTTTTTTCTTCCACATCCCAAAAATTCTCAATTCAAAAAATCTCTCAAAAGGGCCCCATTTCGTCTCTATGAGCCTCTTTTGTGTAATTTGACCCTCCCGTCTACTTTTGCTGCGGCCTGGCACCACTCGGTTGTGCTCTGCGGCATGCCTCCAACAAAACTCCTGGAAAAATATGGGAGGAGACGCCAGGCAATTTAAATATATTTATATTTATATCGTTTCACCTTCGCTGCACAGGCATGCACACACACAAATGTCCAGAAAACAAAACAAAAAAAAAAAAAAAAAACGAACATGTCGTCACGCAAAAAGGCACAAGATAAAAAAAAAAGAAAAAAACAAGCCGATGCTATTGAAACCAACAATAAAAAAAAAAAAAAGTGATATTCATATCGATACCGTCACAGCATGGAAGTGAAAAAAAAAACACATATACACACATGCATATATATATATATATGTATATATATATGTATGTGTGCATTGGATAAAAACGTAACCTCATATTTCATCCTTTAAAATCTTCCCCCCCCCCCCCTCCCCCCGTATTATTCGAAGCAACAACCCGCTCGTGTTTCTTTCCACTGTTACTCCTCTTATTGTCTGAAGCAGCCCTCCTTTTCATTATATTTTTGTTGTTGTTGTTATTCTCTTCTTCTCTGCTATCTTGTCGTCTCTAAAAGCTCTCTATCTCTCTCTCTCTCTCTCTTTTTTTTTTTTTTTTTTCCTTTTCTCCACTTCTCTTGTTTCTTCCTCTGTCTACGTTGACACCATCACCCTTCTGCTGAATCAGATGGAATGGCACTTCAATCTAAAATAATAATAATAAAGGCATGTAAAGCCTCCATGTGACATTTGCACACATGTACATCTGCAGGCCAATATGCATGCGGACCAAAACACACCCTCACGTCTTCTCTCATTCCTGAAAAGAGACATAAAGCAAACCAACGCCCTGCATACCGGTTCCATACAACTCCCGATAAAAAGCTATTACGCCATTCATCTCCTCATACACTCCCACTTCAAAAAAAAAAAAATAATACAAAATACAAAATAAACTCTAAGCAGTCCCCTTTTTTGAACCATTTCCTCTCATTGCTCTTCGCATGTCAACTCGCCTCTTCTCAAACAACGCCATGCCCACTATACCTTTGTAAAACCAAGGCAATGTATATATATATATCGAGAGAGATGGACAACGGACGCAAAAGAGCATGTCATTCCTGCTGTGGAAGTGGCAGTAAAATTGGGAAGTTGGCTGGCAGTGGATCATCCGCCCCGTAAGCCAACAAGTAAGGATTCCACTTCAGAACTTCCTTGATAGAAACGTTGTACTGTAAAGCGATGGAATTAATCGTATCAAAATCACCCCAGTTTTCGACAGGCTGGTAGGATGCTTTTGGAATAGGCGACAACTCATTGCTCTCAAGAAGACCATTTTCTACCGAATCTTCTGGTGCAGAATTCAGGGTCTGCCGCCCATGTGTTGGCCAAGGCACTGAGCGCTGGCATAATGCATTCTCCAATGCGCCCCCCCGTGCGTCGTCATATGTCATCTGAATGTTCGTTCGATTCGGTTGCGGTGACAAGTTCGGAGTGGGTGTTGGCGTGGAGTGAAAGGAAGAGGATTCAGTCGTAAGGGAAAAATCAAAATCGTCGACTCCCGGCCGATTTCTATATTTCAAAAGCGCATCGTTACTAGAAGATGACACGATGGTCTTACACTGTGTAAGGGGAGACTTTCTGATCCTCGACACGCAAGGATGACTACTTGGAACGGCCTCAGATGGCATTGTGTTCATCTCGGCAGAGTTTTTAACACTCAGCATGCCCTTTGAAGGCTCCGTCACGCTAAAAGCGGTGGAAGAAACAGCGGAAGCTGAAACATTGGCAGGTGTTTTGATACAGTTCGCAGAATTCACGTCTTTTTTATGGCTACGGTCATGAATATCGCTTGCAGTAGTGTAACTGACACAATTTTCTTTCCGTTCCAAGAACGATCCCTCAGGGGAAATAGAAGGCAGTTGCATCAATAGTCCCTTCATTGAATCCGCGCAGTCCATAAAAGGCTCACAGGGTAGAGGACTCTCTTCGCGTCGTGTCACCGTGGATTTCTTATTCATAGAGTGAAGATTTGCCTCCTGAAGAGCTGGCAATGGCGCCAAAGGTATAGGGAGCGCTGCACACACCGTGTCATCTGCGTGATGTTGCGTTTCTTTTGCATAATGACCAGACAATGCTTTGTCTGTGCCATTTTCATAGTGGGGCCGCCGGTTCAGTTGCGGCTTCATCTTAATGTACGTGTTGTATGGAAGCACATCCTCATCGTTGTAAAACGATAGTTGTGGATTGTAGCGACGAATCTCATCCACAGAAATCCCATGCTGCGTGGCGATGCTGCGAATTGTCTCACGGCGGCACTCTTCCCCTCTCGTTCTCTCACCGTGCAGCGAGACAGTCTCAGTCGCGTCAACCCACTTATTCTTACCCGCAGACGTTGGGTCACTTCGCGACGCGTCACACCCCTCCTTCTGGCGCAATTCGCCTGAAGAAGAGAAGGTGGGGGAAGACACGGTGGGCCGCCCGTGTCGACCACCGGCATCCGCCAGTCGCATCGGGAACGTCCGGCGGTGTTGCCGCTCCACCACACGGCGGGCAATTGCCGTGCTTTTCGCAAGGCTCAATTGCAGCTGTGAGGCGTCCTCCGGCGCCAGCTTGCGGTGCGGATCTAGCTGCCCGAGGACGTGCTGCAGCTGCTCTATCTGGTACCGCACACCGTCCATTTGTCGTCCTACAAACACGCCCACACGCCGAATCCGTGTTGTCGTGATCCCTCCCCTTCTTTTTTTTTTTTCTTCTTTTGATTTCTCTCGTCACCCTTCAACCCTGTGTGTCCGTGCGCCCGACTGACAGAGACGCACACCAAGAAAAGAAAACAAATGCAATGAGAAGCCAACGCAATAATAAACATCTTTTGGAATATCGCCTGAGATGAGTACCAAATTACCAAAAGTTACTCCGCTCGTAAATCGCTGAGCCTCACACACCTTTGGCAATAAAATC